GAAATTTGGTTAGAGAATCTGAAAGGCTGTCGTGAACTAGATGTCAGAATGTGATTAAAGAATTCTAGGTCCAGTGCAGTGATGCACACCTATAAGTCAAGACACCCAGGAGGCTGGGATGGGAGGATCCCTTTAACCATGAAATTGAAGAAAAGCCTGAACCACATAGCAAGATAGTAACTAAAAAAAAAAAAAATCTTTAAGTTAAAAAAGTAAGGTCATTCTGGGCTGGGGATTTAACTTGTCTAACATATATCTAGCCCTAAGCTCAAGTTTTCTCCAGTATCACAAAAACAGAAACAACAAAAAAAATGAAGCCAGGTGCTCATGGCTCATGCCTGTAATCCTAGCTACTCAGGGAGGCTGAGATCTAAGGATCAAGGTTCAAAGTCAGCCCCAGGCAGGAAAGTCCATGAAACCCTTCTCTCCAATTAACCTCCAAAAAACCAGAAGTGGAGCTTTGGGTCCAAGTGGTAGAATGTTAGCCTTGAGTACAAAAGCTCAAGAACAGCGCCCAGGCTCTGAGTTCAAGCCCCATAACCAACTAAAACTAAATAAAAAATAAATTCTATACCAATTCTTGTCAGTTTCTGTTTGGGGGTAAAAGGAACTTATTGAGCTCTTAACTCAGGGCCATCTGAGCCATACCTCTAACTCCAATGGTCAGAGTCTGTTACAAGAGTAGAGCTTAGGACTGTTTTACTCAAGTACTTAACAGTGTTGCCAGTTTCCTGAGGTGCCAGCACTCTAATCTGTATCCTTCTGAGGGCCCTACCTACACTCCCCGCTGCGGGGGTACTGTTAAGTGTGCGGATCCAAGTGTCTAGACACCAGCCCTTCCCTAGCCAGAGGGCAGACACTGGAGCGATGGACTGTGCCCTGCTGTTCCTGAGGAGGGCAGCCCATACCTCCCACCTCCAGTCCGGCCCTGAGCCAACCACTTTTCTCCTAATCCATCCAGCTCCCGCCCACATGAACCATAGCTGCTCACGACTGTCATCCGGGCACTGAAGCCCTGAACTTTCCTAACCACAGAGAAGTAGGCCAGAGGAGGAAGGAGGATTCACTGAGCCCAAATGCTCATCACTCTGTGAGCTTTGAGAGAAGACAGCCCTCCATCCCACACCACCTTCACCAAGGCCGCATTGCCCGGCCCAGACTTCAGTCCTGGGAACCTCAGCTACCCAGAATCTTCCAGCTCAGGCTTCCCCTCAGCCCAAGAGGCTACACCAGTCAGAAAGGAGAGACAGAAGTAGCCACTACACATACTGCCTCCCTGGGAGAGAGGCTCAAGGCCATCCTAGGGTACCTGGGGGTAATGCCCCTCCAAAGCTGGCAGCCCCTTTTCTCATGGGTTCCCCAATAACACAAGGCCCTGAGCAATTCTTCCAACCGCTGCCACATGGCATTCCCACAATGCTACGAAGGCTGACAGGACAGGAGAACAGCACAACCGTCCACAGGAATGTGTATCTTCCTGCATGCCCACCCTGCCCGGTACCCTGCTAGGCCCTTGGCTCAGGCTAAGAGGGGGACAGACCTACCAGGAGAACCTGTCCCTCCTAACCATCCCTGTGCTCACGTTCCCAGACCCCATGCTGAGCAGCCTGAGTGAGCAGGCTAATTACATCTTTTATTTAAAAAAAAAAATTTAACTTTGTGCCGATACCAGGGCTTAAACTCAGGGCCAGGATGCTGTCCACAAAACACCAGAGCCAACACAAACAGCCCCCCTGCCAAATTATAACCCGGCATATTAAAAAAGAATTCATCTTGAGTCTATACTAAAATCTGAAGGATTAACTAAGTATGGGAGAAGCAGCAAATCCCCTGTATAGAAGGAAGTCTGCAGCTGCTCTGCATGCACGTCTGCAACCGAGTGTACCTCCCCAAGGAGGCAGGCTGGAAAGAGAAGAACTACCACAGTCAAGGTCAAGGTCAAGACCAAACTGCCATGGTGAAGGTCAACAGGAACCATCACCCCTCGGTGGTCACTCTAACACTGCCCTTGATTTGTGACGCAAAGGGCACTCGGTTTACCTCAGTAACCTTGTCAGCCATAGTCTAACCTTTGAAACCCATGAAAGACCTGAACCAGACTCAACTGCCAAGGTCACAGAAAGAGAAGCCTGAGGAACCACTGCAGCCACGGGGAAGCCAAGCAGCCGTGACAACTACACGCAATAGTTGCACTGGTGGGACTCCAGCCTAGAAACGGGACCTGAGTGGGAAAAGCAGAGATCTAAATGAAGCATGGGCTTTAGTTGGCAATCACATACCAATATTGATTCAGAATTGGTGACTTCACCCACACAATGGATGATGACAACGAAATGTGTGTGTGTGTGTGTGTGTGTGCGTGTGTGTGTGTGTCTGTGTGTATTAAGAGTATCAGAAGCCAAGCACCAGTGGCTCACGCCTGTAATCCTAGCTATCTCAGGAGGCTGAGATCTGAGCATCACAGTTTGAAGTCAGCCCCGGCAGGAAAGTCTGTGAAAATCTTTGATTAATCACAGAAAAAAAGCTGGAAGTGGCACTGTGGCTCAAGTGGTAGAGCACTGGCTTTGAGCAAAAAGGGGTTCAGGGACAGAGTTTGAGCCCCAGGACCAGGAAAAAAAGCAACAGAAAATGGCAGAATGATTCCATCCGATGAGGCCACCTGAGGTACTGTGCGTGATGACAAGTACAATGGCCCTGAGCAGTGAGGCGCAGGACACAGGACCAGGAACCACATATAGGACAAAGGACATATGGGCTCCAAAGAAAGAAGCAGAAAGCGGAGAGGTGGAGCCGGAAAGAAATGGCACAGGAGAGCAGAATGTCACAGAGGAGTGACATCCAGCAAGACAGGACACAGTGACCTTGGGTAAGCTGAGGGCGCTGGAAGGTCAGAGGGGCTGCGGGAAAAGGAAATAATGCTTTCTGAGAGAAGATCCTGGCCGTTTGGGGGTGGAAGGAGGCAATGAATGGTCACCTAGGGCTCACACTTGGCACAGCAGAGGGAATGCCACCTAATGACAACTCAGGCACTACTCAGGAGGCTGAGCTCTAAGGACAAACCGTTCAAAGCCAGCCCTGGCAGGAAAGTCTAGGAGACTCTTATCTCCAGTTAACTGGCAAAAAGCCAAAGTGGAGCTGTGGCTCAAGTAAGAAAGCTCCAGGCTTAAATGAAAAAGCTAATGAACAGTGCTCAGGACCTATATTCAAGCTTGAGTGCCAGCATGCACGTTCACACACGCACGCACAGCAGAGAACAGCAGAGTGGGGCAGCTCACAAGCTGATACGCAGGCAGCAGGCAGCATCCCGCCCTGTATGACCGTCCCTAGCAGTTCCCCCTGCCCCCTTTGGAGAGGTCTCTGGTGTGGGGCGGGCTAGAGGACAAGCGCAGGAAGGAGGCTCTGCTTTGGAGGCAGCCTCCATTCTGTCCTGCTCTGGAACTGCACACCCCTGAGACCCCTGGAGCCTCCTGTTTCTTCATCCACGGATGGGGGTGAGGAGCTATGTGCTTCCATCTCTGGAGTGACTCAACAAGGTGATGTGAGTGCCAGCCTTTGGAAACTCTGGCACCATCCCTTTTGTAAGGAAACCTACACAGAACAAATCCAAGCCCTCCAGCCCAGGGTCTCAGATGAGAACAGGGAGGGGCAGAGACAGAGAGCAGCGGTAGGGGAAAGGATGACGCCCCCCCCCGCCCCCAGCACCCACTGCTCCGGGCTGGCCCTCCAACACAGCCACCTCATCACCCACTCTTCCACCCTAGCACAGCAAGGGGGGCTGTGGGCTCGTGGTGCCTCCGGCTCCAGGTCCCTGGGGTGGTTCCCGTGATGACCTGCTGTGACAGCTGTGCTGAGGGGTGGGGGAGGGGAGACAGGGCAGTTGTGTCACCCTGTTCTTCGTTCTTCCCCAGTGAGGATATCCCTGACCATCTGACCCCTCAGCAGGGCCACAGGGACAAGCTGTCTCAGAAAGGCCAGGAGCACTATAGTGGCTCATGCTTTTCATCACAACTCAAGAGGCTGAAATCTGAGGATGGCAATCCAAAGCCACCCGGACCGTCCATGAGACTCTTATCTCTAATGAGTCATACCAAAAGCCACAAGTAGAGCTGCAGCTCAAGCGTAGAGTGCCAGCCTTGAGCAGACAAGCTCAGGGACAGCGCCCAGGTCCTGAGTTTAATCCCCCAGTATAGCAACAATTTCAATGTGGGGATCTTCAGGATCATCCACAAGACCACTCTGCAAATGCCTTTAGAAAGTCACTTTCTGTGATCAGTGGCTGGAAAACTTCCTTCTAGAAAGATCTGTCTCTATCCTCCTACTTCCCCCAGCCCCACCACTCCACTCAGTCTGGAGATGAGCATTTTCCATTCAGCCAAAGATAGGAAAGCATAAAGATGGGGAAGCAGGCATGTGTGCCAGGGGCTTACAGCGCCAAAGGCAAGTGAGTTAAATGTTCTCCTGTGGAAAGGAGGCCCAGGAGTCTCTCAACCAAGCTAGGACCACTGTGGACACTTGAGCAAACCCAGATTTGCTACATTTGTTACATTCTGCCTTAAAAGCGAAGGCAGCCCCCTGTCACTCCTTCCTGGCTGACTCTCTTCATCCAGCTTCTGATTCTCCAAAGTGGCCAGATTAAAATCAGGAAGCCACCAGCAGCTGAAGACTGAAGCGCCTTCCAGAAAGAACTGCATTTACATTCTAATCCCTAAAGGAATCACCCTGGGGAGGCGGTGGCCAGTCGGACACACTAAGAAAATTTACTGTCAGGGGCAATTCCCAACAAGCCTGAACTCCTACACAGACACGCCAGGGAAAGGGGTGGGGGTGGGGAAATAACAAAAGCTCCCTGCAGAAATGAGGTTCATCCATTAAATGATCTACAACCCACAACGAAACCAACACGTGACTCGGCCAGATCAGAGAGATACAACAAAAGAAAGGTCCAGCACACGGAGGGGACGGACAGACCTACGGATGGATGGCCCACTTGGCCCACTCACCTTTAGATCGTGTGGAGACATCCATGCCTTCCACCACCACCTCCGGTTCTGTTTTTATTTCCTCCTCAGCCAAACTGGAAGAGAACAAATGATGCTGATGTTTAGGGTAGGCTGGGAACCGGCCCCACAGCACCAGCTATCCTGGAGGGGGGGGCTGGGGGGGAACAACCACAAACCCACCTCCTTTAAGACAACCCCCAATGTTAGTTATTCAGGGGAGGGGAAAGGAAGACTCCTGATCTCAACAATGCTTGACTCCTTAAAGGACTTCAGGAAAACAGTAGGTTCTATGCCTTTTTAAGTCCAATTACCATTTCAATTGTCATGCTATTGGGGAGGGGGCACAACCAAAAAAAAAAAAGCCTAGTTTTTTAGATACACAATTGCAATTTCCCCACCACCCCCTTGGGCCCTGAGAAACAAGTCTTCAAATAAACAAGTTTCTCAAAGCTAACACCTGGCTCCAAAAGACAGTCAGGTTAGAGGTTTTCCCAGGGCACCCAGAGTTCTGCCAAGCAAACAGGATTTCCCAGACCTGCACCCCCAACCGAAATCGTCCACCTCCCCAAAGAGGCAGGAACATGAATAAAGATACAGGTTAAGTTACAAAGTAGAAAAATGTGCCCACCAATAGTAGCAAAAGAGCTGGTCTCAAAACAATCCAAACTACCAGGAATTAAGATGGGGGATACCCACTCTCCCTCCCCCCACTTTCCCTCTCCTTTGCTTTTACTCCCTGGATAGCAGACATGGTTTGCTTTCGAGCTGAGACTAATTACCCCTCACCACAAATGTGGAATGAGGAAGCATTATTTAAAGACCCAGGCTGGGAGAGGAGGGCTGGGGAAGGGATGGAAAAGGGGAGGGAGGAGCAGTCTCCTAAACTGGGAACGTATGGCACCCAGGCCCTTCTCTCTCTCATTCTTTTCTCTGTTTACTGGAACTCAGGCTGGACAGAGAGCGCAGGCCATTTTAGATCTTCTTCCCCATTGGAAGTGCTCATTGCGCTTCCTTTGATAGGTGTAATTTGAGATACTAGAATGTTCTAGACAAGAGGCTGACACCATCGGGGTAAGAATCTGAATGATCACTCTAGATTCACTTCCAACCGCCCAAGGTTTTCGACAAGAAGAAAGAGATGATCACCAATTGATATGGCTGGAATTTTCCATTTGGAAGACTGAGAGGCAGGACAGGAAGAAGGCTGGAGAATGTCCTGTCTGTGTTCCGTGGTCTGTGCCAGTGACCAGGCAAAGAGACGACTCGGGAAAGGCAGCCTCAGGACTGAAACCCCACGGCAAGATGGAGACGAGCTTAGGAGAATCCCAGGTCTGCAGGGAGGAGAGAATTCAGGATGGGAGCTAGATAGAAAGGAAAAGATTATGTAGCTCAGAATTCAATTACAGGAGCCTGGAGTCCTCTGACTTACCTAGTCCGGGTAGAGGAAAAAAAAAAAAAAAGGAAGGAAGGAGGGTAGTTTGGACTTAAATCAGGATGTTAACACCTTGAACACTCTGTTGTTGGACCCCATTAACAGTTTCATTTAACCAGCATCTGTAGGGTGACCGATGACACAAATGAGAAAAACAAACAACTGACTAGTCACAAAATGGCTTAACAGAAGACAGCAATCACTCCCCACTTCAACTTCAAACACATTCCTCCAGGAGCACACACACACACACACACACACACACACATCTAACTGGACCCTGGTGATGATGTTCTTGCTTGGGGGTGATTAGAAACCCATTTTACTTTTGAAAGCCTTGTATAGCATTCAGAGATGGGCAGACTGGTTACTATCAGAGGGTACACATAGCAACCTTGGGCTTTTTTCCAGCTACAATTCTGTTACCTTGTCTAGCAGGAAGAGGGTGAAATGCTCAACTTTTTGAAACCACTCACATTTTAAGTGATGAGGAAAAGCTAGTAGGTGCTCCAACTGTACAGACAAGGTTAAAAGAAACAATGATGCAAAACAGCCCACCCACTCCCCCCCCCAAATCCCAATTGGGTTTTTTTTTTCCTTTTTGGATGGGCTGTAAACATCCCAAGGTGTATGGAGCACTAAGGACCAATGCATGCAATGAGAACAAAGCTAGTGACAACCTAAAGGAGCTCAATACTTCAGGCAGGAAAGCTGCAGAGGTGAAGAACATGCAAACTAGGAATGCCTGCTTGCTACTGGGCTTCAGTTAATCTATTCTGCAGCAGAAGGGGGAACAAAGTTAAAAGTGTTTTTATCTTTCTGAAATAGGTACCATAATCACCTAACGTGAGCAACATCACCACCCCCTTGATCCCAGGATTTCAAACACAGCAATTTCAGACAACTATCTCCCCCCCCCACACACACACACAGACTACTAGCATCCTTTTCAAAAGGAACCTGGGAATAGACATGCACACACATATGCGGTGTGCACGTGTGCACAAACATACATACACACACACAACTTGTGTTGGACTAAAGAAAATTGCAAAGTCTAAGCATTAACAGGATGAGGAGGAGTAGGAGGTCTTCGTGTATGAAAATCAAAGCTGAAAATGCAAAATGAGTCATTTGGAATAACCACATCTAAAGGGACTTCCTTTTTCTACACCACTGAGCTCAGGTGGGTTTTTTTTTTCTTTTTTGGTTTAATGTTAAGTACTAGTTTGTTAGGAGGCAGGGGGGAACAACTGTGAATAGTCCATCAAAAGTAGTGGTGAGAAAATATTTTATACCTGACTGAATAGGCCTACAGATCTTGGCCAATTTAAGTTTAAGAGCTGTTGAAACATTTGGAAAAAGAATGAAAAAAAAAAACAATTCTTTTTCAAAGAAAAGGCAGCGGCATCTGGAGCAAACACTTTGAACTTCTGCCATAAACACATTCAAGTCTTAGAAAAAAATACACAGTTCTTCCTCTCTCTCTCATATTCATATACATATGTATATATATATATATATATATATATATATATATATATATGTGGATGGTAGCTTCTATCAACCCAGATCATTTACCAAAAAACAAAAGAACTACTCCTTGATTCAAACTAACATTGCTTTTTTTTTTAAGGTCTGTTAAGAGTTAGACTACAGTCCCACGAAAGGAAGGGGTGAAATTAGCTGAAAACCAAACAGCAACCTCTCATCCCAAAAGGAAAAGCCACCACCAACTAGTTAACACACACTGTAAACCACCACCACCACCTCCTTCATCTCCAGCATCCATTTACTTGCCTGGGGATTTCACAAAACTGACAATTTTCAGGCAATTCAAAGGAGAAACAACAGCACCTGTGAACATAACCAAGACCATCCCCTTCCCCTCTCCAGAAAAGAATGGTGCCTGAGCAAAAAAGCCTAGGCTTTACTTCTTAAGCCTCCAGCACTGGGAGAAAGAAGAAAAAGAAAAAGCAATTAAAAGTTGTAGATGAGCTGAGCACCACCTCCAAGATGCTTTAAGCCTTCTGATTATTAATTCTGAGGACTCTGAAACTCGTCCCTTCAACACTTCCAAAAAGACAGAAAGCATCCAGTTTGGACAGGAGAAAAAAAAAAAAAGCCTGGCTACACAATACTCAGATATTTCTTTTCCCCAAGTGCTCTCACTCTGTGACTTTTAACCAAGAATCTCTAACCATGTAGAATATATAACCAGCATGCATGCATGCACAAGAGACTGCTGCTCAGAAAATTATTACAGTAATTCAGGAAGCATGCAGAATTCAAAAAGACTTTTCCTGCTCTTTTTTTTTTTAACTTTCATCCAAAATACCAAAATGGTCCAGGCTGTAAGAAACAGTTCATCACCAAGGTAGGAGCATCTTCCTCTTCTAGATCACAAAATAGTGACCATCGAAATAAAAACCCATGCTTCTCTCAATCTGCAATTAATTGTCCTCAGAGTTGGGGGAGGGGATGGCTGGCAGAGCCAGCCTGAGACAGCACTCACCTACCCCAGGCAGTCTTCGGTGGCTAAGCTATTTATGCAGGATTCTTAAAATGGCGTCTGGCACCACTGTCTCATTCCTGCATTGAAGCTAAAATGGTAGCAGCTTGTTCAATAGCTCAGCTCCTGTTCAAGCAGCGGCCCTGCAACTTTCAAAGCCACCTTCCTAAATATCACTTCACCAGAGGACACCACAACCCATCCTTAGAAGCTTAAAAAAAAAAAAAAAGAAAGAAAGAAAGAGGAAAAAAAAAACTGCAGTGACAGGGAGTTTGTGAAGTCACAGGTTCTAAGGAAAAGCCCTCCCTTGTCTCTTAGATCCAGAGCCTCAACAGGCTCTGGGGTGCCCCCCCCTTTCCTTCCAATGAGGTGGGTGCCAGGTTAGGAATTAGGCAGCCCTGTAGCAGTATTCCATGCAGACAGACAGGTGTCTGCGCGCACACACACATACACACGCACAAACGCAGAATGTTCCAGGGGAGCAGGCTGGGGGAGAGGAAAGGCTGTGGAGAGGAAGCCATTCCCCCTTCCCAAACCATGCGAAGCTAGTGTGGACAACCCACCATACAGGTACACGGCAAAGTGCTTGCCAACCACGCCAAGAGGGCTGCTGCCTCAGTCTGAGGCCAAAGGCAGAATAAAATGCCTTGAAAACGGCCACCAAATCCAGCAGCCACTCTTACGCCAGTCAGCAGCAGCAAGGAAAGGCGACCGTGGCTGCAGAGGAGAAATGCCATCTGTCCCTTCTCCTAGGCACCGAAAAGAATACTCACAAATTAGATTTTTGTCCACCCCCAACAGAATCCTGAGAATTAACAATGGGTTCTGCAAAACCTGCCCTCAGAGGCTGAGCCCCCAGCCACCTATGTTCAGGTCTCAGAGCTGGCCTCACAATTACCCTGGAGCTGGGAGCTGGGGGAGTTTCAAGGTGACAGCTTTGCAGCTCCAGGGGGAGAAAGAAGGGCACACGGCCCAAGGCCGAGCCCGGAGAGGCCGGGTGGCTGGCTCAGCGCCGGCCGGTAGGTTGGTGATGGTGACAGGGCCAGCCTGTCTGGCTGCAGAGCTGGCCTGGCCACACCACCAGGGCTTGTTTGTCCGTGAGGAGAGCCGCACCGGGTGGGGGCAGGGCACCAGATCCCAGCAACCGGAGGCCAAGGGTGAATCCTCCTTCAGGTTTTGCATTTTAAGGCCAACCCCAGGACTCTCACTGCTGTTTACATCTGGCCGTGGGCGGTTAGGGCCCCTGGAATGTATCTATCTCTGCTAGGGCCCCTGGAATGTATCTATCTTTCGGGTTCAACCCCCAGGGCAAAGCAGATCTAGGGCTGACAAATGTTCTGTGGCTTCTGCCAGAGGAAGAGGAAAGAAGTCAAAAGAAACACATCTGAAGTGGGGAAGATGGCCCATAAACCTCCCCTTTGCTTTCAAGGGGGCCCTAGGTGATGGTCACCTAGCCTCCTTTAAAAAAAATGTCCCCCACCCTCCTCCTATAAGACCAATGCTGTTGTCCTCATTGGCTTTCCAGGGGAAAGAAAAGAGGGAAGGTTTTGTTAAAAGGGATAAAGATTACTAGAAAAGAGGGGGGCCGGGGCTATTGTTTTCATCCCTAATTTATAAGGGGGAGGGTGGCTAGGGTACATTGTCTCTCTCTCTCTGACTCAGATCTTTGGGCTATCAATTATAAAAGTAACTGGACTGGGCTCCAGTGGGCCCAGCAATTAGAAAAAACTCAGGAAGAAAGTTCACAGAGTGATGATACATCATTAATTCCCAGTTACAGATTGCACACTGACCATCTTTCTGGCGCTAATAAAAGCAGATGTTCCTCCCCTCCCCCACAGGAGGGCAAAAAGTGCGGCCAGGCTTGGGGGGGGGGGTGATCCGCCTTGAAGAGGGGTGTAGGGAGGAAGAGGAAGGCCTCAAAGCTCCAGTGTCTACCTGCTTCTTGAGGGCCAGGGAGGCAGAAGGAAAAGGGAAAAAGAGCCACCATTCAGTTCTTCCCTCTGCAATTTACAAATGTGGCAGTCAGGCCACTGGGCTCTACCTCAGAGAGAAAGAGAAGGGGGGAGGGGAGGTGCCCGGGGAATGGAATGTGGGGGGGGAGGGAGAGGGCTCTGAGGGCTTGGTAACCTGTTTTCTCCAAAAGGAACAGATAGAGTCGAAATTTCCAGAAAAGCTGTTCTCAGGGAAGCCACTGCAAAATTCTCCATCTTTAACCTTTCCTCCAAGCGCTTAAGGTTCAAGATGAGCAGAGAGGAACTCACACTACCAGGCTGCTCTCTGTCCTAAATATTCCTGTTACAATGTATTTCTCTTCCCTTTCAGTAACAGGGGAAAGACTTCTACTTGGAAAAGCAATTAACTTTTAAACCAGCCTGTGCTGGGGAGTGGGGGGAAAGGGGGTGTCACAGTGTCAGAAGAAAAAGTAGCCAGCTTGATGTAAGGGCTGGGGAGTTGCTGGAGTTCCACATTTCTCGATTCCCAAATCTGTGGGTAGCCATTTTAATGCAAGCTTTTAGAGGACAAATGCTTTGCCCTTCACAAACACGGTATTATGCAAACGCTCAAGGCCTCAAACCAGGAGTCTTGTGATCAGATACTGCTCCAGAGGCAGCTCCAAGAACCTCAATGTGTGATTTTCATCTACAGCAAGAGGAGAACAAAGAGAACTACAAAATGTGTGAAGTTGTGTGTGGTACTAATCGGAGCCCACCTGACACAGCCTTCTCCGCTTCTGGTTTGGTGCATTTCTCTGTATTAAATGAGCCTTTGGCCAATCGGTGTCAAAAGTTGAATTGCTGAGTAGTAATCCAACAGAAGAAAAAAAAAAAAAAGCAGAATCTGACTCCATAAAGTTTCAATGCCACACCAACTGAATATATTTCTAACATTTATAGTGACCTTGGTCTCCAAGCTACAAATTTAGGTAAGAGAACTTCCAGGGAAATCCTAGAGGCAAGTACTAAGAAGAAAAAAGTCCACTTTTATTCTCTCTTTTTTTAAAAAAAAAATCTAGCCACGGCTTTCAAGAGATTGGGGAGGGAGAGGGGTGAAAGGTGAGAATTAAAGTCTTAAAAAAGTAAAGCCAGTATGCAGAGAAGAATGGTAGGGGCAGGCTTGGGAAACATGGCTGCTGCCTCTCAGGGGCAGTGACTCCCAAACCAAGCAGAAGTCTGGTGGTTCAGCTTGGATTTGAGGTGGGATTTTGCACTCTGCAGACAGCTTAAAACTTACAGAAACGCATTACACCCCAGCCCCATGCACAAGCCACCACCAGCTGCTGCCCTCCACCCACCCCAACCCCAAGTTCCTACAACACTGGAAAAAGTAAGCTAGCTTCATTCATTTTTACAAGCAGATCACCAGCCCAGAGTTGTAAGACCCAAACAAACCCAACTCAAGGTCACAGTGAACAGCACATTTCCCCCTGGCTCAGGGAAACAGGAAGTGAAATCTGCAGGTAGCAGAAAAACAGTGGATTCAGTCACTTCAACTCAAAAGACTTTAAAAGCCCTTAGTTTTGTTTCCAGTTAATGAAGTTCTCCCCCACACCCAAAAGCTCCCCCTTATTACAGACCCCAAATGTACACAAAACTCTGGCTACATGGTCAGAGGAAATGGATTGCTTTTACTTACCCAACAAATGTTCTAGCAACCATCTCATTTTTCCAGTTAGGAAGAGAGAACAGGCTGGCAGATTTGGGACTTGATCAAAAAAGGAAATTTTTTTTTTGAAACAGTTACATGGCATTATTTAAAACACACACTACCACAACAACACAACCCCACAACTGTACATGGAAAGCTGTCATGAGCCTCAGGCATGATTTTATTATCCCTGCAGGCTGCCACTCAGCAGGGCAAAGGATACAATGTATAGTTTTTAAAAAGAAAAGGGTAAAAAGAATGAAAATAGGAGTAAAGGATACATATTAGTTCATTGAAATTCATGCAACAGTAGAAAGCTTAGCTAATCACTTCTCTAAGCTTTTTTTTTGGGGGGGGGGGCAGGATCTTATCCAAGATTTCTCCCCACACACCAACCTCTCCCAGCCCCAATCCTCATCCTTATTCTAAAAACTCCCTCCAGCTTCTAGAAAACAGTTTGAGAAACACTTGCTGGCTGTAGGCTTGATTTGCAGAACACTCTGTATGAAGCTAAGTCAGGAAAAAGGGCTAAACAATGTAGTTTCAAGTGCGAAGCTGAGCAGAGGAGGAAGAGAAAGACATGACCACGCACCACCACCCACCTAGGCCCAGGAGCCAGCCTAGCTCCATCAGCTCTGCTGAGGGCTGGGTTCTATTCCAAACACACACATCCTCTCTGGTTAGAACTTTGTCCAGCCTTCCCAGAACCTCTTTGGGAGACCCAAACTTGCCTGCCCTGCTCTCTACCATGAGGACTCCTTGAAGGAGCTTGCTTGCTTACCTTCCATTTCCTCCCCCAGCAGGCATGTGACACAGGAGAAAACAATGGTGAGGGGGAAAAACTGCTGAGAGGAGAGAGCAGAGAGGAGAGAAGAGAGAGAGGGACAGAGAGAAACAGACAGGAAGGGGGGAGGAGGAAACCAAAAAAAAAAAAAAGGAAAAGAAAAAAAAAAGAGCTTCTCTTTTGGCATACCAGGATCTAGCTTCAAATTATTCCAGAAACACCATATCCTGGTGGCAGAGAAGAAGGTGTACCAGGCCCTGACTAGTTTGTAGAATCAGAATCAAGCTATGGCTAATGGCTACTTTAGCCATGTGACCAAGAAAGCCAAAAAAAAATTTTTTTTTTCTCTCTAAGCAGTTCCAAGTTAACCTAACTAAGTGCTCTGTGGGTGAATGTGTAGCACGGCCAGCCACAGAGAAATCACACTGCTAGCCCACAACTCGATGTCTCAGAGGGAGGGGGGAAAAGATGGTTAAAAAGCCGAGCTTACCTCTGTGGATGCATTGCTAACACTGTGTAATGTCAATACTTATAAAACATGGAGGACAGGCTCCCAGTTCTCACAGAAAAAGGGTTTGGCACTTCGGCTGATGATCTGGCCGCCTAATAAAAGCTCATCCCCGATTGGCTGATCCGGAAAATCGGAGTGTAAAGCTGCTCCGGATTGGCTGAAACACTTCCTGAGCGATTATCTTTGTAAGGCTCGGTGAGCAAGAGCCATCCTGTGCATAGAAAAAGACAGGCTAAGCTAGGCCTTCTGCAGCAAGAAAAACCTGGGACAGGGGCCCCCGCACGCACTGCACCCACACTCTGGCTAGATATCCTGGCACTGGCAAGCCAGGGCAGCCAGCCTGACCTGCTCCTGTGAAGTTCAGGCCCGGATGCCTGGGGGATGGGAGCTTTTAGGGTGGCAGGAAGGGCTCGGCCTCATCTGCCCTTCACGGCAGCGGCCTTCCTGTAAAGAGAAAAGCTGGCTTCTTTCTAGAACCATCCGGGAGAGTGGGCTTCCAAGGGGGGAAGATGGAGTAGAGGGGTAGGAACTGGCAGAGAAAACAGCCGAAGAGGCTGGAGGAGAGGGGCTGGGGGCAGGCCTTCGTGGAGCTGGGAAAAAGCAGGCAGCCCAGGTGAAGGGGAGCCCCCCCCCCCAAGAAAGCAGCAAGCTGGTGGCCTGGCCTCCCAGGACTGAGGAGGCTGTGGTGGGGTAGGAGAGGAAGAGTAGTCAAGTTTGCATAGTCATTGTCAAAAGGCCTCCTGGAAAAAGCAGGCCAGAGAGCCGTTTGCCCTCCTCCCCTCCCTCAGTGCTCAAGGAAGAATAAAAATGGGCTCTGCCTCTCTGCCAGGATGCCAAAGCCCCCGCTCCCACCCCCATCTCTGAGCTTACCCTACGAAAAGCCAAAGGCGTTCCTAGCAGGCCACAGGCCTCCATCTACAAACCCTTCCCCTCCTGCCCCCTCCCCCACGGCCCAGGCCTGCTAAACCTGTCAGTTAAACAAAAAATCTGACTTCCGTATTAGTCTGCGATGCCTTCAGCTTCCTGCCTGTTAACCCTCTCTCGGACTCTGGGCCTGGCTGGGAAAATCTAGGCCCTGAGATGGCAGAAAAGGCCTGTGGAAAAATACCAACTGTAGCCCTCTCAGCAGATGCAGAGAGAGAGAGAGAGAGGAGAAAGAGAGCTGCTGTCTCTTCCCAAGGAGGCGTGTACCTTCTGAATCCAGGGCACACACAGGCAGTGCCTCTCTGTCTGAGAAGCCATTTTAATCCAGAGGGAGAGAGAAAGAAGTCAAACCCGGCTGGTAAACAAGAACCCCCATTATAATCAGGCCTACACACCCGCAGGTTAGCCCTTCCTGCCACAATTGGCTCTGTATGTGAGTGTCTGGGGAGCTGGGCCCTGCTCCGTGAGCAGACAAGTCCCATGAGCTCCCCAAGGGTTCTGGCTTCGATTTTATTTCCACAGAGAGCAGCTTCTCATCCCCTAAGGCAGATTGGAGCTGTGATTTCACACACAGCCCTGTACTTGGCTCTCCCCTTCCACTTCCCCCCCCCCATCTCTGGCTCTGCTCCCCAGTAAAATATTAACTAGTTTTTTTTAGAGCTGCTTATAATTCTACCCGTTTCAGTCGTAGTGCGAGGCTACTAATGTCTGTTTCTTCCTAAAGCTGCCTTTGTAGAAAAGGCAAATCCAACAGGATCTTAAAATGTCCTAGCTTGCTTTCTTCTGCCACTTTCCCTCCCCTCACCCCACTATCTTAATTAGCAAGTTTTTCAAAAAAGAAAGAACAGAAAAGGAAAGGAAAAAAAAAAGCCAGAACAACGGAAGCTAAATAAACACCTTTCTTTAGGGGCCAGAGGAAGTTCCTGAGTTCCAGCCTTGGGCCAGGAGGTTAAACTAGGGAGCAATAAAGCATCCCCCTCTTCCCTTGGAATTAGGACTGGCGGGGCCTCTGGTCCCCTACCGTGTCCACAAAAAGAAAACAATTGCTGATCACTCTCTCTCCCTGCCCTCCCCCACACAGCCAGGACAACAGATGCCCACCGCGCGTCTGTAAATTTTCCCTGGCTGGAAATCTCAACATCAAACAGGCTCAGGATGGAACAGGGACTCCAAACAGCCTAACCACACTGCCGGGGCAGGGCTGCGGTGATGGCGATTGCAAAGGGAAGGGCCTTTGTTGTTGCTTTAGGCTGCCCAGGCCACGAGGCCTGATAAAGATCCAGCACCAAGGACAACAGGCCTAACCAAAGGGAGTGGCTGGCTCTTCCCAGAGGTGGAACGCTGTACTGGGACCAAACAGGGGTCCCTGAGGTACAGGCCTAAGCTAATCAAGCGCTGGTCTCCCTCCCCCCCCCCCTTAGCTGTGTGGGCAGCCTCTCTACCACCTCCCATATGGAACCCTGCTGGTTTGTGAGGTGTGGCTTTGGGAAGAACAAATAGGCCTGTAGGGTTGATGGCAAATCTCTGTACACCTAACTCCATAACCTAATGAGGAAATGGAACACGCCACAGGGACAGACGCGTGGTGGATTTTACCCAGGGATTAAAGCTTGTTGCATAAGCAGCTGCAGCATCCTCCCCTCCCCTCTCCTCTCCCTCCCTCTATCTCCCCCTTCTCTCTCCTTTCCTCCCTCCCTCCCTCCCTCCCTCCCTCCTTGTCTTTCTGATCACTTGAAATGTTCTCTGGGGCAAAGAGCAGGAAGCTGCCAGCTCATTCTGGCAGATCAACTCCCAGTGAGGAATACTGCTGGCATTTGGGTAGGTCTGAGGTTATCTGGAAAATACAACTCAGCTAGAGACGGAGACAAAGGTATGATGACTGAAGGAATCATGGGAGGGACCCAGACTGTAGAGGAAGCCTGCGGGCAGGCTTATCCAGGGCTTCAGGGAATGTGGCAGATAGGCTAGAAAGACAGAAAACCAGAGGTAGTAGGCCTCAACTGAGAGATCCACTCTGTAGCCCTTCCAAAAGCAAAAACTATGCAGCTTCTGAATCAGTGCTGGCCGTAGACCAAAAGTTCATCCGGGCAAAGAGCATTGTTAAAGGCCCTGAACTGGGCTCAGAGAGGTGGAGGGATCTGCCCAAGGTCACCCAGCTGGCAGGTCAGAGATCAGATTTCCCACCCAGTTTCAAGGGGTCTTTCTCTGTGCCTAAAGCCTGAACATTCCCTGCCTCTAAAGAACAGAAACACAAAGCTACACCAAACACAGCAAACACATTCAAGAGTCTAAATTCTCCAAATGAGGACTGCCAGGCCCATGCTTCCTTTCTGTTAGCTCAGATACCAGAGGTGGGCCAAGTTCTGAACACTGGAGTTAGAAGGCAGATAGGAGTCCCCTGCCCTTCCTTACTGATGGGGTCCCCCAGGCAACTCTCTCCCACAAGCCTCTGGGAGATAACGAGGACACAGCCATCTCTGAAGGAAGCCTCCATATTCTTGAGATCAGTGGTTCTCAGCAAAGGGCAGTTTCATCCCAGACTCATCCCTGTGGCAAAGTATAAAACCTGAATCGGCACAGGTAACTCCTAGTAGCTAGTAGGTGGAAGAAAACCAGTGCTGTAAAACATCCTACAGAGCTCAGGATGCCCCCTCACACAATTAAGAATCACCTGGTCCCAAATGGGCATTGTGCTAGAGTAAGAATCTGATGTAAATGAAAGAGAAAGGGAAAACAAAACAACAACAACAAACGGCTAACCACTCGCCTCAGGATGGCAAAGCAGGCGCAGGCCTAAACAAGTAGCTTCCTCGGTGATAGGAACAAGCGATGAGCTAATCAAAATAGATTAAAAATAGATTAAAACGTGTCTGTCTTGAGATTCCCAAGGGATGGAGAGAATGCACTGGGCCACATCAAGCTGGAGGAAGCCAGGCAGTGTCCCAGCAATCAGGCTGGCCTGCAGGGGGAGGAAGGGCTGGCCGGGCTCTCTTCCCCAGGAGCCAGCCCTGGCCTGCCCTCCCTGAATCTGCTCTGCAAGCACTGGCCGGGGGCCAGAGAGCCCAAGCAGGAGCAGCTTAAGCAAGCTGCACCCCAGATAGCCTGTGAGCTGGCTGCAGCCCGGAGCTGGACTTATCTGCCTCTGTGAGCCACAGGCGTTCCCGCCATTAGGCAGAGTGCATGAGATTGAAGCAAAGCAGGACACCCGTCAAAGAATATCTTACTTGGTTTGGTTCCTTTTGGGCCAATTAGACTTGAGACTCATTTTGGGCACAATAACAAATAGGCTTCCCTTCAAGTGTGGAGCTGACGGAATGAATGGTGATACACACACACACACACACACACACACACACACGGATGCATGCTGCTTGACTTTGTAGGAAGAACTGCATTAGGCAAATGGCAGGAGGGGCAAAGGGCAAGGGGTGGATGGACCAGCTGTGCCCTTGCAGGCAGATGGCCACAGCCCTGGTGGGGAGAGAGGGAAGATGGAGTGAGGGACACTGGGATCAAACAAAGAACACACGAAGAGGAAAATTTAGTAATTCCAGAAAATGCTTTTTATAATTTTTTTTCTGACTTGCTTAAAAGAATACCATATACGCTGGGCACTGGTGGCTCACGCCTGTAATCCTAGCTACTCAGGAGGCTGAGATCTGAGAATCGTGTTCAAAGCTAGCCTGGAAAGTCCCTGAAATTCTTATCTCGAATGAACCGGAAGTGGCGCTGTGGCTCAAGTGGTAGAGCGCTAGCCTTAAGCTGATGAGCTGAGGGAGGGATAGCGCCCAAGCCCAGAGTTCAAGCCCC